GCCTGGGAATCTTTTTAAAATCCTGATTTCTGGGCCTCATCCTCCAGAAATTGTTTCTTTGTTATGGGGTGGGGCCACAACATTAGTAACAAAGAAACGGAATTAAAACTTTACTGTGGGGAGCCACTACAGTGTTTTGGACAGGTTCAAGCCTTGGACTGATGAGAGGGCACAATCCTCTCATTGCCATGTGCAAGTCCCAGCTTAGAGGGCAGGGCCCTCCCAGCACAATTACAGCCAACAGCTGTAGCTGTAAGCTTGAACCTATGGTCCAAACATGTGGCCCCACGTGCCTGGGTAATGTAGGCTTGATAGAATTCAGGTGCATGTAGTTGAGTAGGATTGAAACCCAGGAGAATGTTATAAACATTTTGGTCACGCCCTTCCTTTGCCTCGTAGCATCTGCTATAAAATAAAAGCATGGCTGTGGGTGTGGTCTCTGTCTCTCAGAGAAGCAACGTCCCACTGAGACCCAGCTTTCATTCTCTTGTCTGTCTTTTCTAAGCCTTTCAGCTGCCCCCACTCAGGTTCACCCTTGGCTGTGCTGACGCGGCACACTTTATAAAGATATGCCTCCACGCTCCCAGGGCGGGTTCGTGCCTCAAAGCCCGCCCTTTCAGGAAACAGCACAGGGAAATAGCTCAGGGGAGGGCGCAGCCGTTGCCAAGACAACCCCTGCAGGAATGACTTCCTTCTGCTTGGTCATGGTTCTGGTCATGATGAACACCACCTAGGGGGTGTGTGTGTGTGTGTGTGTGTGTATATATATATATATATATATATTTCTAGATCAAGAAGTCTCTCTTTTACCATGTTGAAATTTCTATTGCTGAAATAAAAGCTGATTTAAAAAAAACATCAAATTGAATAGCTAGAAAGACAGCTGGTCACTATCCTTAATACATTACTTGTTCCTTTATCAGTGGAATACATTTTCTATCACCACCTCAGCTATCTTATTTTTCTTCTAATTTTAACTTTCGGTCATCCTTCCACTCAGTGAATCTTTAAGGGATAAAGATATGGATAGTTTGTTTAGGACATGAATTGGCCTTGAGAATCCCAAGGTAGTCTTTACTGCCGACATCAGTCTTACCCTGTGGGAAACATATACAGGGTTGGGCAAAGGTAGGTTTACAGTTGTGAGTCTGAGAAACAGTCAATAAAGCTGCTCAGTAATCATAATCTGCATGTCTTTTTTCCCATAGGAACAACTATAAACCTACTTGCCTATTCC